GCTCCGAGGAGGAGCCATGAAGTCCACCAGTGTTGTTTGCTTGGGAATCGAGAGCTAAGTAGAGATGGGTGAAAGACTGACGGCAGCAAGTCAGGAATCGGCCCGACCCCCCGTCGTGTCAGGATTCCCGACTACATCCTTTCACGGGCCCCAGCACATGAGCTGGCGCGTGTAGGTACAACGCGCACGTGCAGGATGAATCTCGTACGAAGCGCGCCGGAAAATCGAAGCATCCGACCATTGCTAAAGGAATGCTCTCCGAATTTCGAGTTCTAATTCAAGCTCCGGGTAGGTCCCTCCCAGATATCGCCAGATGGGGTACGCAAGAGATGCCCAGCTTACCAACTGTCCGCCACGCCGTGAAATTACTAATGATCCGAACGCGGGCGCAGTACGTGAAACGCAGTGACATGTCATGACAAGCGCATCAGGCGAGCCTAACCACCGGCTCAGAATACGCGTTTGATTGTCTCTGGCTGAAGCAGTAACGACTCATGAAGTCTCTCCCTGACGGTAACGGCTAACACAGCACAGCAATTTGGAGCACGGCATAAGAAGTCGTTGACGCGCGTGTGACACGTATCTTACATAACGGGCACCTCACGTGTGCGTCACGTTGTTCTAGTTAGGAACGTGACTCACGTTACGTGAGCATTCGTGTGAGGCGTTCTTTGGAGTCAAGTGAACTAGAATATTGGTCTTATCATTTCATTTCTCTAGTCTAGTCTCATTCATAGCGGAAGTCAGTACGAGTTTGACTCTCTTGCCTTCCCTATATAGCCGGCAAGTTGCCGGTTGCAACGGATCCGATGTCGTGAACCATACCATTTGTGTTACGGTCCCTAAACCAGCCGACTTGGAACTTGAATTTCGTTGTCGGTGTATTCGATTGCCGAGGCATGCCTGAAATCGCTGTCCGGCATTTTCTGCGGTCTCTCTAGGACATCTTGGATTTTGATTCGAAGTCTATTTACCTGGCTCATAATGGTCGCTCCCATCACTGACTTCTTGACAGTATATCCGGGTGCACTGTTCGGAGGTTTGGATCACGAGCTTACCCGCATTCTCCGTCGCTATGTACCTGGTAGCATCAAAGGTGGTGCTATTGCACTGCTATCTTGGATTTTCATTAAGCTCGCGAAGCAACTCCATTTTTGTATCAAGCCGTTACCTTTTCCCGGCCCCAAGGTAGGAAGGCTTCTCAAGTGATCCACTGGCTCCGGTGATGCAGCGGCACTGTCGTGTGAACTTCTTCGACTCCTCAGGGAAGTCCGATTTGCGGGATGGCCTTCAAACTGGATCCGAAAAAAGCCCTAACTTCCATGAGTGCCTGGGTCAAGGAATTCGGTGAAACGATCTCATTCCGGTAAGTCCCATGGTCTTGTTCAATTGAACTTATGGGTATCCTTGGCGTGTTAACTGATGAATGCCAGAGGGTCCCTTTGGTTGTCTCAGAGTCTTCTCGAAGACCTTCGTTGTCACCAAGAATCACGATACTCTCCAACAAATATTCAGAGACTCGAGTGAAGGACTCTTCGTACGGCAATTCAACACCCTGGGACTACTACCCGAGTCCGGCATCTTCCTCACACACGGTCAAGCGTGGAGGGAAGGCAGAAGGAGGGTCGACCCAATACTCGCTGAGACGAATGTTCGCGGCTTGGTCCCCGCAATGTCCCAAATGTCACGGAGGCTGGTAAGCTTGATGACTTGGCTGCACCTTCTGGCAATGTGGACGAGAGAACCTTAGGTTAACGTGCTTTCTGCTATGAGTGACTGCGCTGGACAAGTTCACGACTGGGAGCCCCATGGATTGCTGCAACTGGCAGCATTGGACTTCACATTCGCCACACACTTTGGGAAAGACTTCAATTTCCTAAGTCCACTAGGTGAGACGACAACATAATATTTCCAAGGGATCTAATCTTTACGCACTGTCATTGAAACTAGTCGATGACGTGCAAATGACAATCCGATGGATTGTTGATGGATCGAATCCATCAACGTGTCAGATGGACACGGTCACAGGAGCTGTTCGGTATTTTATTCCGGCAGCAGTTGTCGCATAGTTACGGAGTATTCCGTTATGTTGCTCAGATACCAACGGAGCAGCCGATCGGGAGTACACCTTGCGCGCTTTTCAAGATTTCTTGACGGGCTTCGATTTCATCCTCAAACATCAGGCTCTAGGGCCTCTCCTGCAGAATAGGTACCCGAATAAGCTAAGCCAGCAAGTGGCCAAGGTGAGTTGTTCGTTGTCATCAACTCCTTTTATGTCTCCGATATTGTGAGAGTGGCCTCTTCCATGTAGTTCTACTCGTCTGTGGCGAAAGTGGAAACTTCTGCGAGAGAAATCATCGAACAGAGGAAGAAGGAATTGTCTGAAGGGGCTGAACCCAAGTGTACCGTCTTGGACAAGTTGATCGCCGAGAAGAGACTAGACTTGACATGGAATCTCATAACGTGAGTATTCCAGTAGCCGGTAATGGTTTTGAGTCCCGCTTCCGCTCTTCAACAGTTTCACGCTGAGTGGGGGCACTTCGGTACCCTCGAACCTCGAGTGGTTCCTCTATCTGATGTGTATAAACCAAGATGCTCAGAAGAAGGCCAGGGCCGAAGTTGACGCTCTTGGAAAAGATCCAACCGATAACGACGATCTTGACAAACTAAGATACGTCGAGGCATGTGTGTTGGAAACTCTCCGTGTGGGTACAGCATCTTACCTTATGTATATTGATATACGTGGGGGATGATTGGCGACGTATCCATTTAGATGAATAACTCGACCCCTGGTCCTCTCCCTTATCTAACCACAGCGCCATACACCATTGAGGGGAGAGAACTTGAAGCTGGGACGGTACTGATAATGATGACTGGTGAAGCTATGAAGAGTAAAATCCATGGCGGAGAGGAATTCAGGTAGGGCCTACTGGTTCGAGATCAGCTGCAGGATTCTCCTTCCCAGGCCCGAAGGTTGGTTCGTTCCCGGTACCGGTGATATCGATCGCCAAAAAGCACGAAATCATTGGGCTTTCACTGGGAGTCCCCGTAGATGTCCAGGACAGTATCTCGCTATGAAAGAGTGTATAGTGATGGCTGCAACTATCCTCAGACATTTCGACGACATCCATCTCAGCGACGGTTGCCATAATGTTGGTGAAACTACTTTCATCAATCGTATACCTTCAAATTTACGCATTAACATGAAGTCGAGGCAACGCTGATGGTTAATAGTGAAGCCGGCTCCTAAGAACTATCCTTGTTTTCTTTCATGATTTGGACGCCTTTTAGGGTAGTCTCAGATTCCCCCATACTTAGAGACTTCGACTCCCTCGTATACAACTGCCACTGTTAGGGTCCGGACGTTTGTGACATATTGCGCGTTTTGTACTGGGATTGCTTGGCTGCATCACACGTCTTGGCGCATCGCCTGGGGCGGCTCGCCCCTCGTCCGTAGCTCACAAGGCATTCGTAGTAGGCCAAATCACGCCTTTTCCGCTGAAGCTAATGTGATCTCGAGTTCATCAGTTGGGATTCCCAACGTGGGCACCAAGGCATCGCTCAAAAC